TCCGCCACCGCCTCCACGGCCTCCACTGCCGCCACCGACGCCCCCACCCCCGGGACCACCCCCACCACCACCTCCACCTCCTCCACCGCTTCCTCCACCGCCCCCTCCACCACCCTTGCTTCCCTTTCCCTTGCCAGTGCGGCGTCGCCCACTAGGGGCAGACGCAGCGCCGACCTCCTCAGTGCCAACGAGGTCGACAGCAGCAGCAGAGGCAACAGAGGGGAGAAGGGGGACAGGGGAACACCCCTCAAAGAAGGGGGTGCGACGGTCGCCGCGAGAAGCCCCAACAGCTAAGATACTCTTCTCAGCTGCAGCAAGGCGCTCCTCTAGCAAGTCGACAGTCAGCTCGGTAGGGCAAAGGGAGAGAAAGTGATCCCTGACTGAGGAGAGAGAGTCAGGGAGGCGGGTGACTAGGTAGTAAAGGGTGATGTACATGGGGGGGGTGTTCGTGGGAAGAAACTCAGTGGGAAGGGCAGCGCGGTAGCGAGCGTCACTAGTGCGGAGGTGAGCAACTAGGTCAGCAACTGTGGCAAAGGCGGCAAGGTCAGGAAAAAGGTACGGCAGCATGAGGCGGCTGAGGGCAGCAGTGGTAGGGGAGGAGTAGCGTGCAACTACAGCGTCGTACAGAGCCCTAGCACTCTTGTACTGACTAAAGTGCGTGCGCTCAGTAGACGGCAGGTGATTGCGCACAGCAAGACGAGCAGCAGCATCGCGCGTGAGCCACTGCGAGCGAACAGTACTGTCAGCATCAGCAGTAGGGGCAGTAGAGGCGCCAGACGTGAGATCGAACAGTGAGAGACCATCCTTGCCATCGCACTGTAGGAAAAGCTGCAGATCATCTAGCCAGACCTCAAAGTCAACAGCTCGACCCTCAGCATCAAAGGTAAGAACATTGAGACTAGCCATGACAGGAGAAGCAGCAGGCTAGCAGCAGCAGCAGTGCAACTCGGCTAAGCAGGCTAGGCAGGGCGGCGCAGCTCAGCAGGGCGGTGTGGCTCGGCAGCGCGGCGCTCTTACCAGGGGAGAGGCTGGGGCAGGGCCGGGGTAGGGCCGGGGCAGTTCAGGAGCAGGGCCGGGGCAGGGCCGGGGCAGTTCAGGAGCAGGGCCGGGGCAGGGCCGGGGCAGAGCCGGGGCAGGGCCGGGGTAGGGCCGGGGCAGAGCCGGGCCAGGGCCGGGGCAGTTCAGGGGCAGGGCCGGGGCAGGGCCGGGGCAGAGCCGGGCCAGGGCCGGGGCAGTTCAGGGGCAGGGCCGGGGCAGTTCAGGAGCAGGGCCGGGGCAGTTCAGGAGCAGGGCCGGGGCAGGGCCGGGGCAGGGCCGGGGCAGAGCCGGGGCAGGGCCGGGCAGAGCCGGGCTAGGGCCGGGGCAGTTCAGGGGCAGGGCCGGGGCAGGGCCGGGGCAGTTCAGAAGCAGGGCCGGGGCAGGGCCGGGGCAGGGTGCAGGGCCGGGGCAGGGCCGGGGCAGGGCCGGGGCAGGGCCAGGTCAGGGCCGGGGCAGGGCCTGGGCAGGGCCGGGGCAGGGTCGGAGCAGGGCCGGGACAGGGCCGGGGCGAGGCCGCGACAGGTCCGGGGCAGGGCCGGGGCCGGGCCGCGGCAGTGCAGGAGCAGGGCCGGGGCAGAGCTGCGACAAGGCTGCAGCAGGGCCGGCGCAGGGCCTGACGGGGCCTGACGGGGCCGAGAACTGGGCCTGACGGGGCCGTACGGGGCCTCTAACGGGGCCTGACCGGGCCTTACGGGGCCTGACGGGGCCTTACGGGGCCTTACGGGGCCTTACGGGGCCGTACGGGGCCTAACGGGGCCTTAAACGGTGCCTGACGGGGCCTTACGGGGCCTTAAACGGGGCCTGACGGGGCCTTACGGGGCCTTAGACGGGGCCGTAAACGAGGCCTTACGGGGCCTTAAACGGGGCCGTAAATGGGGCCTTACGGGGCCTTAAACGGGGCCTGACGGGGCCTTACGGGGCCTTACGGGGCCTTACGGGGCATTAAAAGGGGCCGTAAACGGGGCCTTACGGGGCCTTACTGGGCCTAACGGGGCCTTACGAGGTCGTAAACGGGGCCTTAAGGGGCCTTACGGGGCCTTACGGGGCGGGCGCTGGCTCTAAGGGCAGGCGCAGGGGCCGCGACGGGCCTCGAAGGGAAGGCGCGACGCGCGCGTCGAGCAGGCAGTGACGAATTTCAGTGGTGGGCCCTTTTTTAAAATTCTCGAAACTAGCTCTATACCATGTGAGAAGGATTGACGAAAGAATGAATAAACTAGAAAATGAGATGGGTACAAATAGGAAACACATAAGTGTTGTACCCTCTAAGAGCTACCCCACTACAGCCTAAATAGACCATAGCAGATATAAGTTTGACAAGGACATATGTGTCGTATAATCGAAACTGCAATATATTATAGTGAAACTTGAAATACCGCGTACCGTATTCTCCCGGACATAGCACCCTAGGGTATAGCCAAAAATACAGGGAAAAAATGGGGGGGGTCTCCTCATAGGAAAAAAATACATAATACCCGGGTCTTTACATATGGTATATTTTAGTGTTAGTGTTTATTTAATTAGACAATGTGGGTGTTTTGATTTTCATTTTAACATCACTGTCTGAGGCGCGAATGTGGGTTTCGGCCACGAGCTTCATCACCCCCACGAAAATGCCATGTGGCACCTCTCTTGCCACTTGCAGCGGAAGATTTGCCTGTACGTGGTCACAACGAAGTAGTGCGAGGGGGGAAATCTCGGTAGATTGTAAGTGAATGTACCGCGAAATTTCATCTAGGGAGAAATTTTCGCGATATTCTTCAATATTGCAGCTACTCGTTAACGACTATTATAACGAATTCGTAAGAAAAGGGGGGTGTTATAGAAAAACAGCAAAAAATGGGGGTATAGTAGAAACGAGGTCTATCATAACACCCACCCCGCACAAGCTACCCGGGGGTGTACAATTACGGGGGGGTGTTTTGTCCGGGAGAATACGGTACATTTTTACCCTAGCAATGCGCGAATTCTTCCACGTGCTGACTCAAGTACCACCAAATTTGCCTCTGCAAGTATTTTCCATGAGGTAGCTTCCCGAAAAATGGTTGCCGAAGTGCCACCTTCGCAACATCCACACTCATTATGAGAAACTCTCTTCAAGATGTGTGAAAAAAAATCGAAGTAGTTTAAAAAGTTTCCATTTCTAAGACTTATAAGACACCCAAAACCTCCCCAAATACAAGATAACCCAAACATTTTTTATAATGTACGAGATAAGACATACATGTCTTATATCCGGGCGATGATGGTAATACCACAAACCATCAAGCTCCTCTTCTGCTTCCCTTCCCCCCCGCCAGGGCCTCAGATTCACTTTTAGGGTCGTCGACCCATCAGTGTAGCCCTGTGTAGAAACCCTGTTTGACAGTGTTCCAAAAAAAAAAAAGCCTGAAATATCAGTGTTGCCTTAGAAAAAAGGCTGATGCATCAGTGTTCAATAATATAAAACGTTGTTATTATTAGAAATCTCTATTTTAAATACTATGTCAGTAGCAGCCTTCCGAAGCATTGCTAAGCTAACATGCCTCATGAATCATCACCAGCCGTGCTATCATCACTGCCCTTAGCCTTTGGTTCTTCTCTCTCCTCCTCAGCTTGGGACACCAGTACGTGGCAGTGCTCTGCCGCAGCACACACCCCGGCTTCACTTCTGCTTGCGACACATACACGTTGAAGCTGCAGGGGCAGGGTTTGGGGGAGGAACCAGATTGACAGGCAGGGTGAGGCAGGGAGAGAGGAGGGAAGACTAGCACGGTTGGGGGGGAGACGACCGGGGGAGAGAGGGAGTGGATGGAGTGCGGGATAAAGGGAGCGGGGGAATGGACGGCGTGCGCGCGGGTCATGTGCGGGTCATGCCGTCGCGCAGCACGACGCTCTGCGCGCCGCCCGTGGCGCAGATGGCCTTTCAACCGCGGTTCGTGCTGGCGACGAGGCAGCCTTCGGTCGTCGCCATTAGCACGGAAAACTACGCGTCGTCGAGTCGTAGCGGGCCTGCGACGCCGACGGGAATTGCCACGTGGCCGACGACCATCTCGCAGCATGCGCTGCGGATCGCGTCGAACGGGAGCGATGTGTTCGGCAAGACAAGAGGAGGTTCGGCGGCGCTCGCGATGGGTTCGATTCCTGACAGCCCGCCGTTTCTGGTGCTGATGGCGCCATGTATTAATGCAGACGAGAAAACGCAAGAGAAATCGGGGTGAGAGGGAGGGAGAGAGAAACAGGAGGAAAAGAAACAAGAGAGATTGGATTGGAGGGAATGGAAGCATCAGTGCTTGCCAGCACAGCCAACGGTGCAGGAACCCTCGCAGCCCTCCAGCACCACATGGTTGCCACATTCTGACTAGCCAACACTTCATGCTGCAGCGAAACTGCCCAATGGAGTGCTGGCACCGCAGGAATCTAAGATTCCCTGTAATTGCGGGCAAATCCACACGGAACGGAACAAGTAAGAATTGCTTTCAGTGTTAGTTTTGTTACAACAATGTGGAATCAGTGTACTTGGGGGAAAAAGTCTGAAATTTCAGTGTGGCCTAACAAAAAAGGCTGAAAAATCAGTCCCACAAAAATCTCAACACTGATTTTTCAGTGTAGGTAAAAAAAGGACTGCCAAAATCAGGAATTTCAGGGTTTTTTTCCTGATATCTGAGGCCCTGCCCCCCGCTCCTCTTCCACCCTCAACCTCAAACTCCCCTAGTGCCAACGCCAGGCTCAACAAAAACCAGTTTCATCCTCCCTCTTCAGCCCCCTTGCCTTCCTCTCCTTCCTCGTTGTCCTCTCCCCCATCCTCCTCATTCTCCTCCCCTTCTTCCTCATCCTCCTCCTCCTCTTCCTCCTCCTCAAGGTCCAGTACCAACACCCTCCGCTGAGCCCAAAACACTGCAGCCAAGCCACGAGCAGCTGGAGAGGGGGAGCAGGGGGGAAATGGGGAGGGGGCCAGGACAGTAACGAGAACTTTTTGAGTCGTCTCAAACCTCCTCTTCCTCCTCCTCTTCCTCCTTCTCAAGGTCCAGTACCAACACCCTCCGCTGAGCCCCAAACACCACAGCAAGGCCCCGGGCAGCTGCAGAGGAAAAACAGAGGGGAAATGGGGAGGGGCAACGAGAACACATTTGGGTCGACTAAAAAAAAATCCTCGTCCTCCCTCCTCACCCTCATGAAGGTCCAGATTCAAGACCCTCCCCTGAGCAATGAAGAGCGCAGCTGAAGCAGTTGCAGAGAAGAGGCAGCGGGGAAGCAGGGTGGGGCAGCAAAGAGAACGATGTATGAGTTTTGAGACGTCTCAAAACTAGTTGCAGAGAAGAGGCAGCGGGGAAGCCGGGTGGGGCAGCAAAGAGAACGACATATGAGTTGGAAGAAAGCAATTAGGAGGATGAGTTGGAGAAAAGTTAGGAAGAAAGGAGAGGGAGAAGCAGGAGGGATTCAAGGGAGAAAGAAAACAACTATTAGAAGGAGAGAGGGAGTGGAAGGAGTCAGGCACATGCACAAGTCAAGTCATTTAGATTAGCAACATGTGGAAGTAGGTGATATGCTTACAGCTGGCAGCAAGCGGGGCAAGGGGGCGCACAAAGGTGAGAGGGCGTTCCCTAAGGCCCTCCGAGGGAAGCGGTTGGGAGGGCGGTAGGTGCTGCAACAGGGATTGGAGAGGGGAGGAGGGGGTTGGGAAAGGGGTGAAGCGGAATGAGAGAGGGGGGTGATATGACGTTGAGACGTCTCATCACAGTTTTACACCGTTGGAGGAGGCAAAGTGAAGGAAAGGGAATGATGACAGTGCGTGAAGCTTTATAAGATTTGGTGAAGGAAAGCAAGAAAGTCATGATGATGTGTGGAACCTGCCTTGTGACTCATGCTTACGTGTCAAAGAAAGGAAAGTCGGACCAGACACAGCAGCACCCGTACGCACTTGACACAGGTACCCACGCATGCGCCACACATGCATGTACACACTCCCACTCATGTGTATGTGCACGCACGCAACACAAGCAATCACAAGCAAACACAAGCAAACACAAGCAAACAAAAGCAAACACAAGCAAACACAAGCAAACACAAGCAAACACAAGCAAACACAAGCAAACACAAGCAAACACAAGCAAACACAAGCAAACACAAGCAAACACAAGCAAACACAAGCAAACACAAGCAAGCACAAGCAAGCACCTGCAGGAGTGCGTCTCCTTGACCCAGCTGAATTCCTGTGAATGTCACTCCCTCTATTGGACACACCACCAGCCTTCCCTGCTGCTGCTGCTGCTCCCCGGCTTGCTGCTGCATCGCCCCTGCTGCTGCGCTGCCTGCTTTAGTGGCAGCAGCAGCAGTGAGCAACAGTGCGATGTGGTGGTCCTGTGGTTTAGGGATACACACAGAGAAGAGGAACGCAGAGGTTGAAGGAGCAGCAGGAGCAGCAGTGAGCAGCACTTAGCAGCAGTGAGCAGCAGTGAGCAGCAGTGAGCAGCAGTGAGCAGGCAGGCAGACATACATGCATGCATGGGTCTGTGGTACCTTGTACATTGCGATGTCTGTGACCACCATACCATGCCCCACATCCATCTGAGAATACCGCCTCCACCCCTCTGAGATGATTGTTGAGTCGACTCAAAATGCAACTCAGACAGACCGCATGTGTGCATGGATGCATGCATGGGTATCTCAGTACCTTATACATTGCAATGTCTGTGACTGCCATCCCATGCCCCACATCCACCACCGCTGCCTCCACCACCCCTGCTGCTCCTGCCACTGCTGTCACTTCCGCGCCTGGTTTGATTGCTGATGCTGCTGATGCACGGGAAGTTGCAGGATGTTTTGCAGAGGACAAAGGCACTCGTAGCACCAACACTTGGCTGCTGCTGCTGCTGCTGCTAACAGAGGTGGAGGACGGGAGGGGAAGCGCAATGACGCACTTGGCGGGTGGTGGGAGGCGGTGGTGAGGGGTGCTGGTAGCTTTAGCAGAATTGATCAGCGAGGAGGGCTGCAGTGGGGAGAGCAGGGGAAGGAAGAGAAAGTTTGGTGAAGAGAAAGATGGTGAGTAGAAAGATGTCTGGGTAGAAAAACGGGTACTTAAAAAGGTGGACTCAATTGTTGACAAGCGTACAAGAGCAAGGGGTGGACTAGAAACATGGGGATCCCGACTTGAGAACTCTCAAGTCTAGAAAAGAGAGATGGGAATTCATGACCATAAAATCCTTTTCCATCGCAATAAGTGTCTGGCATGCGAGAATGGGTCAAGACAAGAGTGATTCAAGAGAAGAGAAGGGAATGAGCAGAGGAGAGAGCATGTGGGAGGTGGAAGATGTTGGCAAAATTGAGCAAAGAAAAATATGATTTTTCCTTTCTTTCTTTCTTTCTGTCTTTCTTTCTTCCTGATGCACGCGAAGAAAATAGATTAGAGATGGTCACTGAGGTTACTTGGGGGCAGCAGATGGTGATTGGCGCTCGAACAGGCATGGCGGCTGTTGCTGCTGCTGCTGCATGTTTAGCTTGTGCTTGAGCAGGTGTTCTCCGCTGGGCGGCAATCTGTTGGGCGGAAATTTGTTGGCTCGGAGTCAGAAGATGCACGGTGGGCACAGCAGGCAGAGGCAGAGAGGGCAGGGCGAGCACAGCACGGGCAGTGAAGCTGGCTGCCGTGGCTGATAGCACTGCTTCACAACTGGAGAAGAGGGGAAGTGGGGCGAAAAGGGAACAGAATGTGGGCACAGTAGGCATCAGCAGAGGTGGCAGCGAGCACGGCACGGGCAGTGAAGCTGGCTGCTGTGGCTGATAGCACTGCTTCACAACTGTAAACGGAGGAGAGTCGGGCGAAATGGGACAAGGGGCAAGGGAAGTCGTTGAGGCAGTGGGAGAGGCCGCAGGGCAAGCACGGCACGGGCAGTGAAGCTGGCTGCTGTGGCTGATAGCACCGCCCCACGACCGGAAAAAAGGGGGGGAGTGGGGCGAAGGGGGAACATAATGTGAGCACAGTAGGAAGCAGCAGAGTTGGCAGGGCGAGCACGACACGAGCAGTGAAGCTGGCTATGGTGGCTGAATACACGCAAAATACTTGCGATTTCATATAGTGGACACTCAGGTAATTGAGCAGGTTCTGTTCTATCAGAAGACGTTAATTGGTGGTGGTAGTTATCAAATGACATCGCAAGGCTCACCTGTGTTGCACTCGGTCCATCTGCTGGCGGAGAGAGTTGCCTCCCTGGTTGTGCACGGCTGCTGGGTTGGTGATTCCAGCTAGGTCACAGACGACCTCCCTTAGAAGCGCATCTGGGCATAAAAACAACACAATACACAGGAAGTGGGAAGGATTAAAGGTTGGCGTGTTTGTGAGGTCCAAGGGGTGGGAGAGGACGCGAGGAAGGGTTGCAGTGCAGAGGAACACAACACACATCCCATCACCATCGCCATCACAGATACCCTAAACCCCCATCCCATCACCACCATCACACATACCCCCATCCCATTGCCGCCACCTTCCCCACATACCCCCTTCACCACATACCCCCTTCACCACATACCCCCTTCCCCACATACCCCCTTCACCACATACCCCCATCCTCGTGAGTGCCACTCGTGATGCCAGCGAACATGGGCGGAGGCGGTACCCTGGCGCCTGGGGAGGTGGCATCTGGGGCACATGTTTGCAGGTGCGCCTTGATGGGATCGCGGTCGAAGTGGTGGTGCAGAAAGTCCGCCACCACTGCCCTGCTCTGCGGAAGAAGGTGGGGAAAGAGGAGGAGAGAGGAGGGTAGAGCAGGTGGCATCTGGGGGAGGCGGATCCAGGTGCGCCTTGAAGGGGTCGCGGTCGAAGTGGTGGTGCAGAAAGTCCGCCACCACTGCCCTGCTCTGCGGGAAAGGTGTGGGTGGGGGAGAGAGAAGGAGGATGGGAAAAGGACTCGCGAGTTTCGCGGAGGATCCAGGTGCGGCCCCTACAGGCCCAAGGTGCGCTTTGTGTGGAATTCCACTACTATAGCAGCTTGATAGAGCTCAAAAGCACGATTCCAACGCACCAAAGATTGCAGGAAACGCTCCACTATAGCCAAAGATACACGCAAACATAGCTGTGATTTCGACATAAACTCCCCTCCCCGTTCCGACCGCAACACATTCAGTGTCATCCCGGATTGGCGTTCAGCTTCGGGAAGCCATTCCTTGAAGGCAGCAAACGCGTCGCTCTTCACCTTCAACGTCAACGTGAGGCGTGGTCCACGAACAGAATGTAGTACCTGCTTCCATCCATGGCTGGGGTCTGAAATGGACCGCATACGTCAGTATGGACCAGCCCAAGAACTTGCTCCTCGCGCTCGTTGTGCAAGAGGTGCACGGCATATCCTCACCTCCTTTCTCCAGGTCCATGCCTAACACGCTACCGCTCGTGGCTATTCGCTTCACCGCATCAAAGTGGACGTGTCCAAGGCGAGCGTGCCACAGGTTGGGCGTTGCCTTGGAGCCCACTGCGTACGTCTTGAGGCTGGCCGCTCCGTCAGCAACCGCCTTAGTGATGTCATTGCATGTCATTGCAGCCACCGTGCCGTTGCATGCCGCTCCAGCCGTCGTGCCGTTGCAAGCTAATGCAGCCATCGTGCCGTTGCATGTCGCTGCAGCCGTTGTGCCGTTGCTTGCTGGCCACGGTTTCAGGTCAAGGCAGAGAAGACGATGGCGGTAGCGTGCCTTTGCAGCCACTTGTCCTCCCGATGCGATGATGCAGGTGACACCTTCTTCGGTTCGCAGATTTGCTCCTTTGTCCGTGAGCTGTCCAGGGGAGACCAAGTTGGCCTTCATTCCTGGCACAAAGAGGACATCATGCAAGCTCACACACAAGCCGTTAGTGCCCTCCAGCAAAACCTCACCAACACCGGCGACTTCCTGCATAGAACCATCAATCCCTTTGATGGATTTCGTTGCAGATGGGTCACGGATCACCATGAACCACTCCTTGCGGCCGGTCATGTGTTGGGAGCATCCCGAGTCAAGGAACCACAAGTCCTTGCGGTCGGCCAGTAACTTTGCAGCCGAACACGCAACGGTGAGCGCCACGCCCTTCCTGTCTCCTTCAGCTACGTTCGCGGCTGCCGCGGGCATTGTATCCTTCTTGTTGGGGCACTTGGCAGCCATGTGCCCCTCCTCATTGCAGTTGTAGCAGCGCTCCTTAAAGGGGCCTCGCTTCTTCTCCCGCTTGCCATCATTCTTCTTGTCCGTCTGCCCCCTTCCCCCTTTTCCTTCCTTCCCCCTTCTCGTTGACCCCCGTTGTAGCCACGATGGTGTTGACAACGCCCGAGAAAGTAGATGCATCGCTGGTGAGCTGCTTGTAACTCTGTTCGATAGAGAGAGTCTGCTCCTCCATCAACACCTTGCTGCACACGCGTTCCACCGTTATGCCAGGGCTGGAAATGTTGAGCTTGCGGCGAAGTAATCCGTACTCCGGTGGCAGGCCTTTCAGCACGTGAGCGGCAAACGTGGCCATGTGGACCTCTTGTCCAATGGTCAGCAGCTCCGCTCGGATGGTGCGAGCCCTATTGCAGTAGGATTCCGCCGTCTCATCATCTCCCTTCCAGAATTGGGCTAACTGGGTCTGAAGTAGGGAACCGTGGAGGGTATCACGAGCTTGATAAGTAGACAAGATATATGCCCATGCTAGCTGCCCGGCTTTCTCTTGCTGAGAGAAACCAAAAATAGAGATTCGGATGGGTGGAGCAACACAGCGGTTCAGCACCATGAATGCAAGCATTTGGCCCTTTGGTACTCCCTTCGTTGCATGGGGTTGTTTTGGGCCAGGCTTGGTGCTGTCCCGTTGCAAAACTGCCACAAATCAGCGCACTGGAGTTGAGGTCGGATGGCGCTGACCCACGCGGTAAGGTCGTGCCTTCCCTCCAGCAGCGGCGTCACGGAGATGTGCTCTACTCCAAACTTGAATTGGCCGTAGCTCGTGGCGATCATTCCCGTGTCAATGGTTGATGCAACAGCTCCTCCACCAACGCCCACAGCAATTGGAGCTTCGTGCACAGCTCATCCTTCATCGGTTCCTCCTTGCTGGCCGCTCGCAGGTGCTTGCTCCGCCGCGCGCTCCCGAACCATGCGTAGTAAACGACCGCCCCCAATGAGGTTGATCTCCTCATCACGCAAGTTAGGGTGGTGCTCACGAACGGACGCCTCAAGCTCCTGACGGGCATTCAGGCCCTCGGCGCTCGTTAACCACTCCATCCGCAGTCAAAACAAGCGTCGGCCACACCAACGTAGGAAAGAAGTGACGGGAGGACGGAATCAAGCTAATAGTTGGATCGACGAAGATAACACAGCTCTGATGCCATGTAGAATTCCACTACTATAACAGCTTGATAGAGCTCGAAAGCACGATTCCAATGCACCAAAGATTGCAGGAAACAGTCTTCTATAGCCAGATATACACACAAACATAGCAGTGATAATGACTTCGTTGATTTCTAGTTTGTGCTCTCTGGTTTTATACAAGGACGCAATACAAAATAAAAGCACACAAGAAAGTGTCGACTCGGGTCGCACGTTGAATTTCGTCGACGCGAAATTCGGAGCCTTGAATTTCGCCGAGTGAATTCCATTGACTGGACTTTCGTAGACGAGAATTTTCGCGACCAGAATTCCGTCGACCACCGACTGTAACTCCCGTGCGAATTCTGTTGACTTCGACACTTCGCTGCCGAGTTTCAAACTGAACGCGACCCGAGATCGATTTCGACAAATTGTCCCCAATCTGTCCCCAGACTGTTCCCAATCTGTCATGAGAAGACACTTTGGGGACACTTGAATCGAAAGGTCTCCAGTTCGAAACTCGCGTGCACCATAACCAACGCCTTAGCAGAAACTGTCCTGAATCTGTCCTGAGACACTTTCAGGACAGATTTGAAGGTCACGAGTTCGAATCCCAACGCCGACATTTTGTTGCTCATGGCAGCATTTCCTTCTAACACTTAGATGATATCACTGTAAAAGCGATGGCGGAGAAAATCCGCCACCACTGCCTTGCTCTGTGGGAGAGAAGGGGCAGATGGGGAGACGAGGAGGGTAGAGCACTTTTTGTTACTTGAAAGTTCTGAAATTTCTGCCACTAGTACTCTCTGCTGCAGGAGCCTGGCTGCTGCTGCTGCGGCTGCCACTGGCAGCATTCGCCCCAAGTGAGCCAAGCACCAATGCTGAACGCCCTAAGGCATGAGGTCTGAACACCCTAAGTGTCAACAAGCGCCACTACGCACCCCCTATGTGCCACTCTACATGTAGCACTCACGTGTTGATCAGCAGCACCTGGCTGCTGGTAGCATTCCTACCCCTCCACCTCATGTTGTTAGAGAATTCTAGAGAACATTCCGCTAATTTTTTAGAACCAACTGTCCGCTGTAGCACTCACGTGTTGACCAGCAGTGCCTGGCTGCTCGCAGAATTGCCGCCCGGCCTGACACCCTCGTCCTCATCCTCGTTCGCCGCCCGGATGCAGCGCAGCAGCCATACAAAGAAGGCCGCAAACTGCGGCAGCACCACCGCCAGCAGCCGCACCACGCGCTCGCTCCACACCATCGCAACCTTCACCTCCTCTATTGCCCTCTGTAGTAGCCCACCTGCACTGCCACTAGCACCACTATCAACACCCCTATCAGCTTCACTACTGCCAGCATCGCCCATGCAGTGTATAAGTCCGAGAGCCTCAAACGGGCTGACTGTCCCTGGAGAACCAGCAGTGGCACCTGCAGCAGTAGCTGAAGCTGTAGCACCAGCAGAGGCAGCAGCAGCTGTAGCGGCGAGAGATTGCAGGGAGGAGAGGCGGAAGAGGGTTTCTTCCAGAGCGGGCATGAGGTGCAGTGTGAGTAGAGCATGTAGTGCGTTCCCTGCTGTTTCTATTGTCCGTGCCAGCCGCTTCACTCCCTGGGGGTGGGTAAGAGTGCGAAGGGGAAAAGAGAGTGAAAGGATGAGAGGCGGAGGAGAGTTTCTTCCAGAGAGGCGGGCATGAGGTGCAGCGTGAGCAGAATGTGTAATGGGTTCCCTGCCGTCTATAATGTCCGCGCCAGCCACTTCACTTCCTGCCAGTGGACGGGAATAAGGAGTGCAGGGAGGAGAGTTACTTTCAGAGCGGGCATGAGGTGTAGCGTGAGCAGACCATGCACCGCATTCCCTGCTGTCTCTATTGTTTGTGCCAGTCACTCCCTGGGGGTGGGTACGAGTGCCAAGGGGAATAGAGAGTGCAAGGAGGAGAGGCAGGGGAAGGATTTTTCCAGGGCGGGCATGTGGTGCAGCGTGAGCAGAGCGTGCACCGCGTTACCTGCTGTCTCTATTGTCCGCGCCAGCCGCTTCACCCCCTGCCGGTGGTGGGGGGGAGTAGGGGATAAGGGTGGGGGGCTGAACGGTGGCAAAAACATTGCACTAGTGGGGCTGTACCACCACTGGTGCATTGCAGGACGAATGAACATTGTGCACATTGCAGGACGAATGAACATTGTGCACATTGCAGGACGAATGAACATTGTGCACATTGCAGGCACCACTAACTTCTGCATCACCATCATCATCATCAGCAGCGCCTCACGGCCAGCCAGGCCTTACCGCTTCGCCTGCGAGAGTGTCTGTGAAGAAGCTGTTCAAATCCGTGCTAGCAGCCCCGGTCGCCAGCATGTACAGGACTGAGACGTAAAATCTAGACTAGGAGTCAATGTTGAGACATCTTAAAGCCAGCCAGGCCTTACCGCTTCGCCTGCGAGAGTGTCTGTGAAGAAGCTGTTGAAATCCGTGCTGGCAGCCCCGGTCGCCAGCATGTACAGGAGCTCTGAGCGCGGGTCTGAGTGGCAGTCTGAGACATGATGGGAGCACGGGTTGCACAGGGGCATGGCAAGGGCACGAGAGCAGGCAGAGAGACAACCACTGAGGCGCTTCGGTGACTAGCAGCCCATGTTGTGAGCATGTACAGGAGCTCTGAGTGCGGATCCGAGGGGCAACCTGAGACATGATCAGAGCACGTGGCAGGCAGGGGCATTGCAAGGGCGCGGTTCTGAGTGGTGGCAAAACTCTCAAATCGCAGGTAGAAAAAGGGCAAGAGGGTAGGGCAGTCACCTGCCGCCAGCTCATCAATCACCTCTCGCCAGCCCACCAATCACCTGCCGCAAGCTCACCGTTCTCCTCCAGCAGTCGCTGCAGCGCCTGCACCTTCTCCCGCCACTGACAGCTGGCGGCCTCCCATTGGCCGTGCATGGCAGCGGCAGCTGCTGACACGGACTCCATGAGCCCTGTCAGCGCTGCCCCGTGCGTTGCCACTGCCAACACCTCCCAGGGGCTGGAGGGGAGGAGGCGGATATGGGAAGGGGGTGGGGCACGTACGTACGGCGGGAGGAGAAGGCGGGCTTCAGCTGTCAACGCATGAGGCTGCCACAACTCCCGCCTGTTGACCACCCACCTGTTGACCACCCACCTGTTGACCACCCACCTGTTGCCCTCCCCCCCACCTGCTCGCTATCTTGAAACAGCTTTTAAGAAGCTAAAGAAAAGAATCAACTATCCCCCACCCACCCACCTGTCTCTCATCAGGGAAGTGTGAAACCTGCTGTGAGCTGGCACTGTCTCTCATCAGGGAAGTGTGAAACCTGCTGTGAGCTGGCACTGTCTCTCAACAGGGAAGTGTGAAACCTGCTGTGAGCTGGCATTGTCTCTCATCAGGTGCCAGCTCACAGCCAGCCCGCCCTGCTCCTGCCACTCCTGCTAACCTCCACCTGGGTGCCCCCCACCCCACATGCTGGTTGCTGATTGGATTCAATTTTCCAGAGATCCAAGAGAGTTTTTCCAACTATCGCCCGCCCACGCACCTGTCTCTCATCATGGGGGTGTGAAACAGTGCCAGCTCACAGCCAGCTTCGCCCTGCCGCAGTTGCTTCCCCTCCCTGCTGCTGCTGCTGCTGCTGCTGCTGCTGCTGCTGGCCGTGACGACAATGAGGTGGGCGAGATCAGATGTCAGCAAAGCCTGTTGGGGCCACGTGGGGGGGGGGGGGAAGGGTGGGGAAGAACAGAGCTTCGAGGCGCTTCAAGAGTTGTTGCTGCTGCTGCTGCCGCTGCTGCTGGCAGTGATAACGATGAGGTGGGCGAGATCAGGTGTCAGCAAGGCCTGTTGAGTGAATGTGAGGGTTGAAAGTGGAGAGAGGGGGTGGGGAAGCAGAGTACGAAGCTAGAGCGATTTGAAAAGAACTGAGAATTGGGAGGGAGACGAGATGTTATCAGAGGCTGTGGTGAGGGGAGCGGTCGGGAGCAGGGAGTGGAAGGGAAGGGAAGCGAAGCGAAGGGAAGGGATGGGATGGGGGTTGCAATGGGTCAAGCGCGACGTTGGGCATTAGCGGTGACACTCGTGTTGTGAGCAAGACGAGGAGAGAGGCACCGAGGCGTCTGCTGTCTGGCACTCTTCTTGCAAGCCCCGCTTGTCTGCTGCTGTTGAGGCGCCTCGAAGCTCGTAATGCACTCATAAAGAACGGAAAAGTTCTCCACGCAGATCTGACTCACCTTCACAGGAGTTCCACTTGGACGCCCGCTGTGCCCTTCGCTCGTGGGACCTGCAGCTGGCATCCGGTTTGTGATGTCCTGATGGTTGGTGATGTAAGGAAGCGGGCGGGCGAGTGAGGAGAGAGGCAGGGGGTGAGAGGGGGGAGAGTGGAGAGAACATAGTGCGGTGTGCTGCGGTGTGCTGTGGCGTGGAGTAGTGAGCAGGGGCCTACCAGCTTGATGAGTGGGAAGATGCCGAACGCACTCACCACCACACACCCCACCACATCCACACTCACTAACACACACAGCATACTCCTCTCCTCCTCCCCTCCCTCTCCCTCTCCTCCTCCCCCTCCCCCTCCACCCCCTTCCTTTCCCCCTTCCCCTCTCCCTTTGCCAGCTGGCATGTGCATCCACCACCGCTCATCCTCGGGCACACGGGCCCCATCCACGTCAGCAGCTGAGTCAGCGGCCGCGGAGAGGGAGGAGGCGGAGGGAAGGAAAGAGGCCGGTGGGGTCCGGGGGAGGTAGGTATGAGTGAGGTCGTGGTAGGGGCCGTGGGGGAAAGGCGGGGAGGGGGTGGAGTGATTGAGCGGGGCAGGGGAGGAAGAGGAGGAGTGGGAGAGGGAGGGGAGGTTGGCAAGGAGGGAGGACGGGGAGATTGGAGGGGAGGTACTGGTGGCAGCGGCGGTGGTAGCAAGGTTGACACTGGGAGCAGCAGTGGTGGAGGAGGGGGAGATGTGCAGGGAGGACCAAGAGAGGGCGGAGAGGGGGGCGGAGTGGAAGGAGGAGACCTGGTGAATGATGTCTCCGCCCTGCAGGGGGAAGGGGGAAGAGGGGAAGAGGGGAAGTGGGAAGGGGGAAGGGGGAAGGGGGAAGTTGGGAAGAGGGAAGGGGGAAGAGCGGAACCGGGGGAGGTGGGGGGAATTGGGTAGAAGGAGAGATGGCACAGGGAGGGGCGGAGTGGAAGGAGGAAACCTTGTGGGTGATGTCTCCGCCCTGCAGGGGAAATGGTAAGGTAAGGAGGAGGGACGATTGGATGCAGGGATGGGAGGTGGTGCAGGGAAGGGGGTAGGTAGGGAGGGAGGTACAGGGGGGTAGAGTAGGCAGAGAAGACAGGTGCAGGGATGCTAGGTGGGGGAGCGTGAAACCGCATGTTCAGCTCGCTGGTGTCAGAGCAGCATGAGCTAGGAGGAGCAGCATGAGCGAGCTGAACACTCATGTGGTGTTCAAAGGCACGAGCGAGCTGAACAGCATGAGCTAGCTAGGAGGAACACACCATATGAGTGTTCAAAGGCCGACCACTTCTAGCCTGACTCACTCCCTCACTGCACTCTAAACGCTCGCTGCTGCACTAATTGCTCTAATTTCACTCTGCTTGTTTGTTGAATCTGAAAAGACAACACGCAGACACACACACACGAGGGCTGACCTCCACGTGGCGGTACACGATGCTGCCATCTGTATGCCCTGTCAGAATGGCCCGCCCATCGGGCCGCCACGTCAGCGCAGTCACAGGCACCTCTGGCGGGAAAGGGGAGGGAAGAGAGAAGCAAGGGAGGGTTACACAGTACTACTTATTTGGGCAGACAAAAAGGGCAACACAACGAGACTGGAAGAAGCATCGGAATGATTGTTCACATCTGGGTCAAACAGATTCACCCACCAATTTCATAAGTTTTAACAGATTGATCAACTACATTTCCAAGTTACCAAAATCAGAAATTCCACTTCAAGTTACCAAACTTTCACCCCAAAGCTAAAAATGGTTGATTTACCAGAAATGGCTGCCCAGAGGCGCTGCCAGTTGAGGCGAAAAACGAGGAGATGCTGGTCGCGACACACGAGGGCTAGCAAGTCCTTGTCGCCACTCCACTCCGCCAGACATGCCTGAGACGGACGGGAAGAACAAAACAAAACTGATTGTGATGGCCAGACGAGGCGTTTTGTTTTCAGACACCTGGTCACGGGGACACACACGAGGGCTAGCAGGTCCTTTTCGCCACTCCACTCCGCTAGACATGCCTGACATGGACGGGAAGAACAAAACAAAACTGATCGTGACGGCCAGACGAGGCGTTCCATTTTCAGACTCCTGGTCACGGTGACGCACACAATGGCCAGCAGGTGCTTGTCGCCACTCCAATCCGCTAGACATGCCTGAGATAGAAGGTAAGGAAAGAACTGATTGTGAAGGACGAACAAAGAACCAAGGACCTGCGAGGCAAGCGACTGTCCTGTGTGGCACGCGACTGACCTGCGAGGCAAGCAACTGACCTGCGAGGCAAGCGACTGACCTGTGAGGCAAGCGACTGACCTGCGAGGCAAGCGACTGACCTGCGAGGCAAGCGACTGACCTGCGAGGCAAGCGACTGACCTGCGAGGCAAGCGACTGACCTGCGAGGCAAGCGACTTCTCCTGAACGACAGTGAAGCTGGCAGGCATGGCAGCAGGCGTTAGCAGGAGGATTCGACGTGGCTAATACTGGTTCTTGTAATTGCAAACCGCGGTGCGCACTGCAGCCTGCATTCTCTCTAGCCTATGCTGCACATATGGCAAATCTGCTACGAGATAACGCGAAGCAGAAATGTCAGAAGCATGTTATTCCTCAGGTTTCACCACGAAAATGGACTTCGTGTCCTCCTTTCTGATCAGATGGCAAAGCATATGTTTCCCTTTGTTCGAATGCGGCTCAATGAGGCTCTCTACGATGTAAAGTGGTCGAATTAGCATTTCAATCGATCATGCTTCCGAATGTCTTTTTGCTGTGAAACTCGCTTCTGGTTTAGTTATACGGGAAAAAAGGAAGCTGACACAAGATTACATCATATTCATGAGCAGGTAGAAGATTGTGATTGATATGTGAACACACAAATATCATTCATGCATTATCGTTTAGTTAAACAGTATGTCATTGTGATGGGCTTTTTCACCAAGCTGGCTGGGTAAATGTAATAAATGAGTATAGTGTATCAGTCCGAATGTTACATATGTTTACATTAAACTGTTGTGCTGCAAGCTGTATCGATTTGCATATCTTTTCCCGCGCCCTGGATGACACCAGCACACCACCAAACTGACCTCCTGACCCTTGCTGCCACGTCGATAATCTTTGAAATATTGCTTGGCGCGAAAAGTACGAGTATATCCAATGACAGAAGCTGCGCACCGTCGATCTCCGTGACATACACCATGCCATGCTTTGATCCAACGAACTGTACTCGTCAGCTGACGTCCTTCCCTCGTGCGGCACGGATCTACCTCGATTGTTCCGCGCGCATCCTTGCCTGGCGGAAGGCGGAAGAATCCTTCTCTTGTGCGCTGTTCTGGCGTGGTGCGTGCGTGATGATGGTTCAAGCGCAACTGTCAGCGAGCTAACAAGCGGGGAGGGGAAGCATTTTCTACTGCCTGACAATTACGAGGGTTTGGTTTTGGTCTGGCAGGACAACCAAACCAAACAAGGCAACCATATTCCACCAGCAGTCCATCTCACTCGGTGTTGGTCATTCATTGGGCGTTCCCTTGTGGTCGTCCGTTCCTCACTCCCTCTCTTCCCTAACCTCTCCCCTTCCTCGTTTTCTTCCAGGTCCTTGGATCTGTCTTTTTTCCCGCCTTTCCCACTTTCCGCATGGGAACATTCTGTGTGATAATTTCTTGGTAAGCCAGCTAATTGTATGTAGCATGTAGTAAGACAGGATCACCCTATTACGTTACTAACTCGGTCATTCCTTAGTCTTAGCAATAATGGCGGTAAGCTTCTCGTCGTTTACCTCTCAGATTAGTAGAGTTAGGCCTAATTCAGAGGCTCAATTGGCCTCCGCTGGCATTCTTGGCTCACGACCTGGTTCCGAGTGTTCCGGGGCTTCGCGGTTATCCGCGGTTAGTCTAGGCTTAAATGAAAGATCGAGCCTCGCGGTTTCAGCATCATTTGTAGGCGCGTCTCGATCGCCATTGCGAGCCGATGACGGCCACGATACTTTTACCGGCTTGCCGGTTCACAGCGGCGTCGTCCACAGAACGGGACGGTCGCGACGCTTTGGAGAGAAGCTCAAACAGCGACGGCGAATGGTTTGTCGCGCTGAGAGCTTAAACGGCAGCAGTAGCAACAACGGCAGGATAGGCAGCTTAGTATTTCCCGCAGCTCCACCCTTCGGTTCCATAGCTGGGGAGTCAGATCGGGACGCTAATTTTGCGCAACTCAATAGGGTGAATACTGGAAATGAGTCCGTGGCACGGCGGACAGAAGCGGAAGATACGGCGAGTGTTGTCGCCGTGTCGGGGTTGCTCCAGCAGCAGCAGACTCCGCCAGTCCTCGAGGTGGTCCGGCAACTCGAAGCGAAGATGAATGAACCGTCCGCGGTGCTGGAAAGCATGAAGGTGGGACCTTAAATTTCTTACCGCTTCTCTCCATGATTCCTAGTGTCCCCGTTTCGCGCCTGTGTCCTCCATTTCCCTTCTCCCTCCTTTTTCCTTTCTCCATTTTCCTTGCTCGTTTTCGCTCACGTGCTCTTCCCGCTTCCCCTCCTATCCCTGTTGCGCAACCGTAACAATGCGTCTTAGAACCATTTCTTACTGAGGCTCAAAGTTTTTTATTCGTTGTTCCCATGCAGGATATGCTGACGGTTGAAGATCTCGAGACTCTTATTGCTTACCTGGCGCAACGAGGTCGCGACATGTGGCAAGCCCTCGAGGTTTACGACTGGATGGTTCGCGAGAACCGTGCTCAGCGCAGCACGCGTCGACTCACCCTCGTCATCATGGACCAGCGGCTCGGGCAGCTTTTACAAGAAGCCTGCCCGACGGAAAACATTTTGCGCCTGGTGGTGCGCATGCTTGAGCTGGAGCTCCTGCCGGACCTTCCGCTCAAGCGGATGCTGGCGGAGCAACTGTGGGATCGCGGGGACTTGCCGGCGGTCGTGCGGCTGGTTCGGATTCTGCAGGAATCGGAGTGTTTTCACGGCGACGGCGCTGGTGCGACTTCGGGAGGAGGAGGTGGGGTTGCGGATTTGGCGGTGAGGTTGAGAAGCCAAATGGACAGGTCGATTAAAGACGTCAAAGACGGACAGATCGAAAGTGTTGCGGGGCAGCCTAAGCTGCCGCCGCTGACGCTGCAGGGGGATACGAACCGGTCCGACCAATCAAATGTGGCCATGTCTTCATCTGTTGTAGGAGAAGTCGGCCCTTCGTCGCCCATCTCCGCAACGGCTACCAGCTCAGCAGCCGAAGCGGACAGGATGGCGGGAGGTTCGGCAGGAGGCTCGGCAGGAGGTTCGGCAGAATCGTCTTCCGGATCGTGGCTGCTGGCGGAAGGTCCAGAGGAGCGGAAGGACCGTCTCATCCGAGAGTTGCGTGAACGGGTGGCGGTTGAGCTGGCTGGCGCAAAGGGGGAGGGGGCAGGGGGGGGTTCTGTTTACGGGGAGAGCGCGGAGGCCCAAGCGGGAGGTTCGGAGTCGGTTTCCGGGGGCGCTGATACCGCAGATGCGGTTGCAGAGACTGGGGAGGACCTGGGGGGGTACTTGGCGGAACGAGCGCTCGCGCGTGCGCAGTTCCGCGAGGTGCTGGCGCTTCCGCGGCTGTTGCGCGAGGGCGGCGTGGAGGTGTCGGTGGTGGCGTACGAGGCGGCGCTGATTGCGGCGGTGAGGGAGCAGGAGCTGTGGACGATCAACGTGGGGGATCTGCAGGTGATGCAGTATGAGAGCGCCGTGGGAGCGCTGTCGCCGCTCGACTGCATGCTCATGGAGGTGCGTTGCTGGTGGGATGTAGAGGGATGGGGAGGGATAAGGGTGGATTTGGGGGGATAAGGGGCGGCGGGGATGAGGGGTTGTTGCGGGGGTGAGGGGTTGTTGCGGGGGTGATGTGGGGGTCAAGTGAGCGTTACAGGATTGGAGGAAGAGGCACTGTCGCCGCTGGACTTCATGCTCATGGAGCTGCGTGGCCGCTGAGATGAAGAGGGATGGAGGGGGAAAGGGGGGGACGCTGGGATGGGGGATAAGGGGGGGAATGGGGGGGTATTGCGGGGGTGATGGGGGTCAAGTGAGCGTGAGGAAGGATCTGTCTCTGTTGGACTTATGGGGTCAAGCTGCATGCTTATGGAGGTGAGTGCGTGGTAGTTGAAGGGGAGATGGGGGAATTGAGGGTTTGATGGTTTGGTGATGAGGAGATGGTGGGGGCACGGTTCACTGGCTGGTTCGAGCAGCATTGTCAGAGGCAGTTTGGCTGGTT